TCCCTGTGGGTCCCTTCCAACTCAGGATATTCCATGAAGCTAAACCTTTCAGAGGATGTTGTTTCCATGGTCTCTTTGCCTGGTGCACTTCCAACGATGAGGACAAGCTACCTTTGAGTCCAGATAATCAAGGAACACTCTGCCCGTGCTCAGGTAAGAGCCCAGAGGTGGGAATGCTGTCCCAAAGCATGGCTGCTGCCCATGCACAGCATCCTGATCCATGTGCTGCCCTTACTCCATTCTGCTTCCTCTGCACATGGAGTCTTCCAGAGAAATCTTCCTTTCCATGCTCAATTTCAGTGGGAAAGGCAGGATCCCTCTCTGGGAGCTGGGGCTCTCTCAGATGTTCACTGATTTTACCGGGACTGACAAAAGCAGCTGGATGGACTCGGCTCAACCAACATCCCAAACACAGCCTGACAGCACCTCAGCTCTGAGATCTCCACAGCAAATGGAGCCCAGGGCCATCCCTGCAGCACTGAATTCCTGCCAATTCCAGCCATTCTGAGCCTGCCAGAGCCTGGAAGTGCTGGGAGGGAACTTTGGGGATAATCAGCATTTCAAGGATGAGCAAATCTCTCTTTGCTCCCAGAGGAAGCGTCGTGTGTTTTCCTCAGGCACCTAAACACAATTAGGGAATAATTACGGAGCTGTTGATGTGTTTTCCTGTCAAAAAGGGGGAGAAACACATTTAGAACCTGTTCCCCAATTAAATCTGATCCAACAGAAGGGAACAACAGGGATAGCCAGGAGTGCCTGGTGTCTCATCCCGGCTTTGATGCCTCTTTGGTACCCTTGGAATGGTCCAGGCTGAGGTAGAAGCCAATCCCTTGGGAATGCCAATGGCACTGTGAATCCTTGGCATTTCCACAGCTTTTCTTAGCATGGATCCAGGCCAGCTCAAGGGATTCCATAGCCAGCACATCCTACACCAGAGTTATTTTTGATTTTATCAGGGACAGGGAAGGGAGATACCAATGGCAGGAAGGAGAAGGGCTGTGAAACGCTGGATCCGCAGCCTGGATTGTCCCACTGGGTCACATGGATGCACCAAAGGGATTCCATCTGGAGCCTGAACCTCCAAGGGGAATTTGCATTGGAAGCAGCATTCCAGAAGGATGCTGGAAGTGTTACCATGGGAGAAAGTGTGTAAGAGCCCGGGTTTTATCCCCAATATCTGATGCCGAATCCGGTGGATTTTGGAGCAGCCGGCAGATGGCACTGACTCATCTCCTGCTCCATGGAAACATCCCAGCGGGATGCAGCCTCTCCAGGACCTTTCCGCCTTCTGCCTTTAGAGGCACCGATCACGGAAAGCATATTTGAAGGTTGAGTAAGGCTCTGGCTGCCTCCTGGAACTGTTTGTACTGGGATAAAAATCGCCTTTCTGTGCTCAGGAGGTTCCTGGGATCTGGTGCTGATGAGATGGAACAGCAGACATGGAGCTCATGCTTCCCAAAACTTGTCCTGTGCCATGGCTGTTGGGCTGATCCTCGGGATAATCTTCCCTGGCATAAATTTGGAAGATGTGATAAGGCAGATACATCAATGTCGTTTCTTTCTGGTTTGCCTGGGCCACATGTTAAAGGGAAAAAAAATAATTAATTTTTTGCAAAAGGGAGGATATTTCTCCCTTTCCAGCCTCCGGTTTAGCTGAGGCTCTGAAGGTGGAGAGCTGCAGGCCCAGCATCCCTGGGAATTTTTCCATGCTGGGGGTCTTTTTTGTCTCCCCTTGCCTGGATTTCATTCCTTTTATTTCCTGCATTTGGGAAGTGTCTTGCCCTTGAGCTGTTGGGTTAAACCGAGACCATGGAACATCCCTTGAGAAAGGCTCCTGGCTTGTAGAGGGTCTTGTCATCAGGAGAAAGAACTGGATTTAAATGTGGGATTTTAGTGGATGAACAGATGGACAAGGAAGGGATGAACTACCTGGGAAAAGCTCAGCCAGGTCACAGCAAGGTTGTGAAAAACAGATTTGACATTCCTGGCTGTGACATTGGTGAGGCAACGGGAAACCACATCCCAAAATCCAAGTGCAAGGCCAGAGGGATTTTTAATTAAAGAGAAAAGGGAAGGATAAACCAAAAGCAGGAGCTGGATTGAGCTGTAATGGTTGTTGCTCCTGACTGTAAACGAGGGGGTTCAAGGCTAGGGAGCCACTTACAGCTCATCTGCAAACACAAAGAGAGGGAACAGAGAGCTCCAAACAAAGCTCCTGGAGAGTGAGGAACACAGGGCTTTGTTGGATCTCCTCAGGAATAATGAGGAAGCAGCTTCTCAGACAGATTGGTTTGTGGCACTGGGAATAAATGGACAAAAGGAAGACGTTCAGAGCAGTGCTGGCCTGGGATAGAGCTGCTCTCACATCGCACCAGCAGGGCCCCAGCAAAGCTACTCTGCAGGGTCTGGGTATAATGAGGAAAGCAATTTAGTGGGAAAAAGGGAACAAGGAGTCCCATTTGTGTGGGAGAAAAGCTCTTTCATTATTGCATTTGCGGTCAGAGTGGTTTTCCAGTCAGCCGTGTGTGGCTGCTGGTGTGAGGGTCTGGAAGGTAGTGGGACACTCTAAAGGGAGCAGAGAGTCCCCAGGCAGGGACAGAGGTGGAACTGGCAGTGCTTGGAATTCCTCCCTCTTCTCATATTTCATAGAATCACAGAATGGTTTGGGTTGGAGGGGACCTTAAAGCTCATCTCATCTCATCTCACCCCTGCCATGGGCAAGGAAATCTTCCACTATGCCAGGTTGCTCCAAGCCCCATCTGGCCTGGCCTTGGACACTTCCAGGGATGGGGCAGCTACAGCTTCTCTGGACAACCTGTGCCAGGGCCTCACTCCCCTCACAGGGGAGAATTTATTTGTAATATCTAAGTTAGTGATGAGTTGTCAGTCACAGAGAATGGGGAGCAAACCTAGAAAATCTTGGAAAAAACCCAGCATATTTTGTGGGAGAGAGCACGGTTTCTCGTGGTACATCCTGCCCTTGCTGGCTGTCCTTCCTCATCCATGTGGAAGTCGAGGGCTGGAGAAAGGCACAGTTGTGGATGTTCCCAGCGTTGATGAGGACATTTCTCGGGGATCTCAGTCCCTCACTATGGATTTCTCAGTTGTTTTACTCAGAATCCCAAACTCTGTGGGATTCCTGCCTCAGAGGGAACCTGAGAGAGGGATGAAGCCAAGGGGCTGCACACTCATCTCCTGCCTGTCCTTGAGGCTGAGGTGGAAATGCTGACTCTCCCAGAGTCATTTTGGACTAAGTGCCACGTAGACCCAGCTAATGGGACTCCACGCCAGGCAATCTGGAGATATATTAAACCCAGGAGCTGCTGCAGGAATGATTTGCATGTCAGTGACAGGAGGGAAATTGCCTCATTGTGTCTCTCTGGGTTTTGATCCTGTGAAGTGCCGGGTATCCCAGCTCCAGTCCGTTTAATTGATTCCCCGAGGCAGTGGAGGCCTCCTGGGATAATGAGGGCTCTCGAGGGGAAGATGCTCAGTTATCTCCTGCTTTTACCTCCCTGCTCCTCTGGCTGAGTGAAGAGGGGGAAAATCAGCTAAAAATGAAATGTGATGTTTGTTTGCTAAAACTGAAATGAAAAGTGATGCTTGTTAAGAGGGATTTAGTGGCCATGTAGGCTCCCAGTGTCCACCCCCCTGCACGGAGATTCCTTGATCTCTGACACATTGGAGAGCAGGGAAACCTGCTTAGGATCCCACACAAGGATGAGCCATCTGGGTTTCTAATGGTCACCCAGAGGGAAACAACCTCCTGGTCTTCCCTGCTTGTGATAGGGCAAGGGGAATGGATTCAAACTGAAAAAGAGGAGGTTTAGATGGGATATTGGGAAGAAATTCCTCCCTGTGAGGGTGGTGAGGCTCTGGCACAGGTTGTCCAGAGAAGCTGTGGCTGCTCCATCCCTGGAACTGTCCAAGGCCAGGCTGGATGGGGCTTGGAGCAACCTGGGATAGTGGAAGGTGTCCCAGCCCATGGAATGAGGTGATCCTTAAGGTCCCTTTCAATCCAAACCATCCTGTGATTCCATTATTCTATGATCTTTTCCAGGTGCCAGAGGAGCAGTGGGATCAGGAGAGCGTGGCAGAGAAGGGTGGAAACCTCTCTTGCAGCAGCCACCCTTTTGGGAGACCCCTTCATGTGAGACATCATTTAACAGTCACAACTCCTCACACTTCCCATCTCCAGGGCGGGAATGTAGGACGAGGAGGCTAAAATAGGCTGAGGGTGGGTGTGCTGTGGGAGCAGATTACAAAAGGAGCTATTTTCCCTTGTAAGCTTCTCAGCTCGCCCCCTGCTTAGGTCCTGGCAGCTGTCAGAGCTCAGCGGGGGTCCCGTGGAGATTTGGGAGGGCAGGGAAGCACACTCAGAGGTGGCACTTCTTGCTGATCCCGGGGTGGCACCGATGCCACTGACCGTCCTGGAGTGGAGACAGTGGTGGCTCCAAGGCCACCTGATAGTCTTGGACAACCTCAAGCTCTTCCCTCCTTGGATTTCACTTTAAACCCTGCCCTGTTTAGATCTGGGAATGACTGGATCCTTGTTACTCTTGCCTGTGTTTTTTTTTCCTTGGTGATGTTCAGCTGCAGGAGGTTTTTGGCTGCTGGGAATGGATCCAGCGGTGTCCAGCTGGAGCAAATTCCTCGTGGGCAGCAGTCCCTGTCCTGCCTGGCTTGGCCTGGGAGACCAGGATGTCCTGGGTGTAGGATGAGGCCAGGAGAGAGCCACCTGAGAGTGGTCTGGGTCAGCCTTGTGCTGTGGAGAGATATGGAAGGACATTCTTCCTTAAAGGAAAGGGATATTTTTCCTGCCAGGAGAGGGGACAATGCTCGGTCACCATGGCAACTGCAGCTCAGGGATGCTGGGTACACACCAGTGCCCTGGCAGAGGTGCTGGGGATGCTGCTGGAGGCCAGGATGTCCTGATCCTGGGCTAATTCCCAACATTTCAGTCAGTGTTGGCTGCCTGTGAGGGGCTCTGCTCCGCCAGGATTTGGTAAAGGGAATACTCCTGAATGCAGCCTTCAATTAAGCTCCTAAATCCCAGGAAGAGAAACAGGAACTTTGAGAAGAGAAACCTCCCACTTTAGTTTTGCTTTTCTATGGATCTAATTTTCCAAAGGTTCCCAGAGCCTTGGATATTCAAATGGCTCTTTCTATGTGCTGATTGTTAAGAATCCAAACCAAAGCAGGTGGATGATCCTTTAGCAGTCATAAAGCACCTCTGTGGTGGGTAACAGTGAGGAGATCTGATCTCAGAGGCTCTGCACAACTCTTCCTTCAGCACCTGCACTTGGAAAGCTGGAAAACAGAGATTTGTAAAGCAAGTGGAAGAAAAGGATTTGCAAACCTCTGCTGTTCTAGCAGAGCTCAGGCACTGCCTTGGAATTACAAAGATAGAGCATGTGTCGTTCCCAGCTTTCCGTGGTGCTCTGCTAATTTTCCTGCATGCTGAGAGATAAAATGGATCCTCTGGAATTCCTCCAAATTAAACCCAGGCTCCCTCTCCCCCTGCCAGCAGGGAACAGCCTCTGTTTGTCACCAGCAGCGTAACTCCACCTTTATCAGGTATTTCCAGTGCTCCTCAAAACCAGGAGCTGTGAAACATCTCCCTGGATTTCATTACTTTGGAGATGGAATGTTAAATCTCTCAGCTGGGCTTTGTGGCTTCACCAGGTAGAGGCTGAGCTGGAGCAGGAGCTGTGTGTGGATCCCTCTGTGCTGCTGAGGTGAGCACTGTGAGGGAGCTCCGTGTGCTCTCCCTGTGCAGGTGCCGGGCTCCTCGTCCCTCCCTGAGCCTCTGGCTGCCTCTTCCCACAAGGAATGATGCTGGAATGGGCTGCAGTAGGTTCCTGTTCGGGCTAGGTGAAGGGATGGGAGAAGCCAAGTGCTATGTGCTGATGCTCCTGTGCCAAGTCTGTCCAGGCCTCGTGGGAATCCTGTGGGACGTGGGTGCAGCCTTTTCTCAGGAATGCAACACAGAGCTGTGGAAATCAATCCAGCCCAGCTGGAACACACATGCACGGGCTGGTTCCTCCTCTGTCAGCTCAGGTTATCCGTCCAAACCTGCAGTGAGGAAACCTTTCACTGTTGCTTCTTCCCTTGTAGCCAACTCATTCCCTGTTTTCTGGCTTTCGGATCTCACCCCTGCAGCCTTCCAGGCCAAGTTCCAGGTCTTCCCTCCCTCCTTGGACTTCCTTCTGTGCCTGGTGCTCATCCCCAGGGGCTGCAATTCCAGCTGTTTGTGGGTAAGATCAACTCTTGCCAGGTGAGCCCAAAGCCCAGCCCAGCACAGTGGCACCTGGGTGAGATCAGGCCCTGCTTCTTGGTTCTGCATTCCTGGACTTCCAGCTGATATGTCCAGGGGCTACCAGGGAAGGGAAAACCTGAGGATGGAGGTGGTGGGGAGGTGCCTGGTGATCACCTGGCTCATTAGTCCAGCTACCAAATGAATGACAGCAAACAGCAGCTCCCATGGGAACTTTTGAATGTTGGGACTGTCAGAGCCTCATTTTTCAGGGTTATTTTATTTGCAGGTGTTTCCCTTAGACTCCTCTGCCATCAGAGTTTGGTGTTCCATCAGCCTGGGGCAGCTTGACTTCCCAGAGCATAAGCCTGCTCCCAACCAGCTTCTGCAGAGCCCAAACTTCCCTGTGTTCATTTTCTTGTTATTGTATTTAGTCTCTGGTGACTACCGAGCTGACAGCTGGTAAGGATGGCATGAAACTGAGTTAATTTTTTTGTCTAATTTGTGCAAAGCTGAAATCAGGGTTCTGAAAGCCTTGCTTTGCCTTATAGTGCTGACACATCTGCTGCGTGCAATGGCCTTTGATTCCTGAAAGTCTGTTTTCCCTCTACTTCACCGGGATGAGAAGATCTTTGTGATCTTTTGTAAATGCTTTAACACCACAGCTGAGAGTACCAGGCTGTTAGGGAGCTCCCCCAACCCTCCCTGAATCTCAGAATCATCGAATGGTTTGGGTTGGAAGGTACCTTAAAGATCACCCCATTCCACTCCCTGCCACGGGCAGGGACACCTTCCACTATCCCAAGCTGCTCCAAACCCCAACCTGGCCTTGAACACTTCCAGGGATGGGGCAGCCACAGCTTCTCTGGGCACCCTGTGCCAGGGCCTCACCACCCTCACAGGGAAGAATTCCTTCCCAAAATCCTATCTAACTGTGGCCTCCAACTGCGCCACCCTCCTGCCCCTTTCTCTCTCCTGTTCTGATTTTCCTGACAAAGCCCTGAGTTTGAGCAACCCTTGGCTTGTGGAGACATTGGAGAAGTTGTGGTATTTCTTGTTTTGAAGCTTAAAATAGCCTGGAATTGGCTCTTTATGTTTCCCAGAGTCTGCTTTGCTCTCCAAACCAAAGCGAAGCCACCACGACTCGAGCGGGAATTAAAGGCCCTGGCTTGAAGTCTGTGTGTGTTTTACAGGCCCAGGACAGCTCAAGCAGGAGCTGTTCCCCTGATAAGAATTATTCTGGATCACAATAAAAGCCACACCAGCTTAAGGCTTCTCCAAGCCTCATTTTATAGTGGCTATTAAAGACTGGAGTGAATTGCTCGGGATGATTCCCCAGGCACCGCTGGAAATAGGGAAAGTGGAGGAACAAAGAAAATGAAACATGTTTTGGGGCCCTAAAAACCATCTTTAGAAAGAGCTTGGTGTGATTATTATTATTTTCAGACCAATGTTCTCTGCCTAAGTAATGCCAGCAAAGTGTCTCGAGCAGCTCCCTAATTTGTGAGGGTCCCAAAGGCACAGCCTTGGGAAGGAATTGGATTTACACTTATGAAAAACAAATTACAGGCTGAGGGCTCGTTAGATGATTTGGAATTAATTTATTGATCTGAGGCTGGAGTGGGAGGAAATAGAGATGGGAAAACAGCTGAGTGCACCTTATCCCAAAACACACGAGATTCTGTCACCGAAGGAGATCAGGGAGCAGTTTTTTCGTGACTCCTTGGATTTGAGGAGCTCACGGAGGGACAGAGGTGCTGAGTTTGGAGCTCCCATGGATCCTTTGGGATGAAGGAGAGAATTCCCTGGCTTTGGCAGCCTGTGATGGCCTGGGAGCAGTGACAGGCAAAAGGAAGATGGCAGGAGGAAATGTTCCACTGGGAATAAGGAAAAACCCCTTTGCATTGGAGGAGTCACCCCAGGTCAGGGGTGAGAGCGGTGGTGCGATTTCCATCCTTGGGATGCTCAGACTCACTTGGAGAAGGTCCTGAGCTGTCTGCTCGGACCTGAGGATCTCCAAGGCCCCTTCCAACCTCAATTAATCCATGATTAATCCAAATAGCTCCAAATACAAGTGTGCTTTTACTCAGCCTGAGCTCCAGCTTGTTGTGGCCAACACTCCGAAGCCAGCGCTGGAGCACTGGAGCACAAACCATCCATGTCCTCTTGTAAAAGGCACCCAAATCCAGGCAGCTTCAACAGCAACCTTATTTTTTTGGCCAAATATGTGGAAAATAAATCAGGCATTTGCCATTCAATGTGATATTTTTATTGCTGTTTTCAGCCATCTCTGCCCTCTTTGCTTGCTCCCTGTGTGTCCCAGACCTGTCACAGTGGAAAAGTTCCAGTGAAAGCTGGAAACTTGGCAAACTTGTGCAGTATAAAGCAAACCTGGTGTTTCTTTTTAGAGGCTGAAAATAAATACATTAAAACCAAGGATAAGGGAGTCTCTGGGTCCGCTCCTGGCAGGCTGCTTTCCCATGTTTATGTGATAACCTGCTGGCCAGTGCAGAGGCACCGATGGCTAAAAATAGGGAGTGAGCTGCTCCATCGGGTCTGGGATAATCTGGTTTGGAGGGATATGGTCCATCATGCAACCCTGGGAAATCACTATCCTGTTTTTTTAACGTGGAGCAGGATTTGCAGCACTGCATCCATAACAGGGTATTTATCCCAAGGCACGTGGTGTGATTGCCCACACGGGTCAGTACTGCTCTTACTGATATTACTGGTCCTGCTCTCCCTGGGGTTGGTTCTAATGCTTTTTTTGGGATCCTTCTTGGTGGCATCGCTTGGAGCAGGTCAGTAGAGCCCACCCAGCCTTGGCACCTACTGGTTTGTACTGGAAGCAGTGGGAGGGGGCTGCTGGGAGTGGCTGTGCCTGTTACAACCTGGGATGGGGGAAAGGGCTGATCTGCTGAGCCTGGATATACCTGGAGGATTATTTGCCCTGGGAGTCAGTGGCTTTGGCCATGGGCAGGGTAGGCACTGCCTGGTACGAGGGGACACATGAGATACTTGGATCTGTTGGGATGAACTCTGGATCCTCCACCCTCCAGCAGCAGCGCCACTGATTTACCCCCATTCTCCACAGCACAGACACCCTGACCATCACCCCCAATTAACGTTAATTATCTCATTAACTCCACTCACAGGGAGCTCTGTCCTAAATAATGAAGTGAAATTTCCCTCTGAACTGGGCCAGAAGATTTTCTTCCCTTCTTTTTTTATACATGTATTTCCCTCTTTCCTTCCTGGAGGCAGCTTTGGGCTTTGTTTGGCAGCAGCAGCCGTGGCTGTGAGATCTCATGCTCTTCCTCAACAGAAATCCTCCCAAAGGAAGAGAAAGGGGAAGGGAAATAAGCTGCTGCCATAAACCCCAGGAAACCAGGGCCATTCCAGAAGCTCTCCCATGGCAAATGTCGCTGCCAGGGCCATTCCCCGGTCTAAGCCTGGGGGTCCTAAAGGAGGAGCTACAGTTTGGATTAAAGGATTTGCCAAAGTCTAATGAAGGAAGAGCCTCCAGGCTTCCCTTAATTAACAAATTAGCTCATCGAGAGTCTCCCTAATTTGCCAAATATAAAGCTGCCCTATTAATTAAACAAGAGGACCGATTTTAATTTGCCAAACCTTACGTGTAATTGGTAAATGACTAATTTAAACCCTTCTTGGTGGAAGTTTCCAGGAGCAGTAATGGGGTATGAGCAAGTGGGATCCTCCAAACAAGGAGCACCTGGGATCTGATCCACCAACGGGACATGGGGACCACCAATGATCCCACCACCTCTCCTCTTATTGACCCATCCACTAATTGGGTCTGATTACATCCAACCTCTTTCCTCTTCCCCCTAAATCCCATTAATTCATTGTTTTCCGTGAGCAGAAGCTCTTCAACAGCTGAGCTGATGCCAGGCTGGGGGTGATACACTCAAGATGGGATATCCATGGAAATGCTTTACCTCTCCCTCAGGAATTATGATCCTAAATCCCTCATCTCTGGGGATCTTCTTGCCTCTTACTGCTGTGCAGTTTTATGGATCCCCCCCAGTCCTACCCAGGATGGATCAGGCTCTGAGGAACCTTAATTGAATCTTTAGGATAAAACCTTTCCATCCTCACAGACGATCCGGAACGTTAATCCTGGATAATGTGACATGGAACATTTCCGCGGCTCCTCGGCACAGGTTTCCCTCCTCATGCTCCCTTTGAGTTTGGATTTGTTTGTTTCCCAAGGCAAACTCTGGATCTGGCTCCCATCAACAGCACCCTTTCGACAGATCCCAAAATTTATATATTTATTTAAGTAATTCTCAGATAAGGGGGCTATTTCGGGAATGGGATTCTTGTGGCAGTCCTGGGAGAGGGTTGGATCCAGCACGGGATGAGCTTTAAGCACTGGGATGCTCAAGATGCCTCTGCCCAGAGGAAGATGCTGTGGGGGGACCCTGATGAGGGCACAGGTGCCCCCACATCTCCCTGGCACTGCCCAGCAACTCTCTCCTTCCAGAAATAGCCCCACACTGGCATGAGCTCAGGAATATTTTGCTGTTATTTTTAAAAATTCCAGAGGAATTGGAGCTCAGGGGACCTGCACCAAGGCCACCCCTGGCCAAAAAAGGCCTGAAAATGGCATTGCATTCTCAGAGCTGGCAGGAATGCTGAGGATTCCCGCAAGGAACCAGCCACTTTCCAGTCTGGAGCCGAGCAGCTCCCAAGCCCATCCCAGTGATGGGAAGCAGGATTGGCAAAGCTGGAGGGCACAGTCACCTCCAAAACAGTTGTCTCTGCAAAGCCTTGCTCTGTGGAGCAGTGATTTGCCTGGATGTTCATTGCAAAGAAGGTGGGTTTATTTGTTATAAAAATCATAAATAAAGCAAGTTTTCTTACGGATGTTTGGGAAGTTGAAGCCTTTTGGTTTTAAGTTTTTGTTATTGAGATAAATCCAGTTGGTGCCTTAAAGAATATTGGGTGCTTACCGAGGGCTTTATCATACAGGACCCATTGATGGGTCTACTGTTTCCAGGAGATTTCAGGAATCTGCCTGTGTTTAGTGACTGCTCACTGTGATCCTGGCACATGGGACACCAGCTGTGGAAAAACATATCCAGAGGGATTTTAGGGTGATGCCGAAGGGTTTTAGGGTGAAGGATGAGCCTGAATTGAGCTCCAGCAGTTTTGTAGCCAACACAAGGCCTTGGAGACCTCTCAGCATCACCTCACTCCCAGTGGGATGCTCAGCATCCAAACCTGGAGCCCTGCCAGGGCTGTTTAACCCTCTTCCATCCTAAATTATTCCCTCTCCATCTGAAATCCCCCCAGGCCCAGGGGTTGGTGCTCACTGTGCCACTGAGTGCAGAGTGGGGAGCTGAGGGATTCTACCCCCCCACATTCCTGCTCCCATTCTCCAAACCCAGAGCTTGTTGTTTTTTTTTGTTGGAGCTGCAGACACCAGCAGTCCTGGCCTCCATGGTTCCCACACAAGCTGTAACACTAAAAAAACCCACAATGAGTGGGAGAAAAGAGATGGATGACACATTTGCTGCAGGAAAGGGCTTAGGGTGATGAGAAAACACTCATTTCTGGCAAAACTAACAATCGGGGGGGGGAAACTGGGATGCAGAGCAGGGAATACCTGTGCTGGTATTGGAATCTGCCTGGCCAGGAACCTCTTTTAAGGATAATAAAGCACAAGGACACACTGAGCATCTCCCATGTGCTGCTTCCTCTGCCCTTTGGAACATTGGCTCCCGCCTCCACCGAGCAGCTGGGGGATAAAATTCCTTAAAATTAGATCAAGGCCATGAAATGAAGGTGCAGCACCACATGCAGAAATCCAGCTTTCAGGCCCTCGTGTTTCCAAACCACACTCCATGAGGGGAACAGAATGAAGGAGTTTGCAGCACTGTACAGACAAGCAAAGGGCGCCGGGGAAAATTGGGAAGGAATCCCAAAGGATTCAGCCAAATGCTCAGAGTCTGGATATTTATGGGAAAACGCTCAGGTGGGGAAGGTGCTGGGAGGGTGGTTTGGGGCTGAACCAGCAGCTCTGTGTGCAAACCACGCAGAGGTGCCCTAACCTGCCCCTGCCAGCGGTGGGATGCAGTGGGACATGGTGCCAGCAGCCTCGGGATCACAGTGGGATCTGGCAGCCCCATCCCAGCCCCGCCGAGTCCCGGGCTCACGGAGCTGTTTATAAGCCCCGAGTTGCACAAGGTTGGGACTGGTTTTTTCCATTATTGTATCAAATCAGCGAAATAGGGAACATGAAATGTCTCTTTGACATCCTGTATGTGGGCTCTTTAGTTTTGCAGTGACTTTTCATTTCCACTTGGATCGGGAGGCAGTGACGAGATTCGGAGCTCGGGACCACAGTGGGTGTGAAGCTGGGAGCCAGAGGGATGAGCTCCCTGTGGGAAAGGAAGGGATAAACTCAGCCCTGAAACACTGGGATATGTGGTAGGAGCCCTGTGCTGTGTCCTCTCAGCTCAACCCACCTCCTTTTCCAGCCATTCCCATTTATCCCCACGGCTCTGCCTGGGGCGAGGGAAAGTTCTGCTGGATGACGGACAAAGCTCCCCTGGAGAGGGAAAAGCTTCATGCAGTTTCTTCCCCATTAAGTGTGACATCTGTTTTGGGCTGAGTCAGGCGGGTTCCCAGCGCCCACGGGGGAGGCAGAGGAGGGCGAGCGCCTGTGCCGGCGGGGTCGGGTCTGCCGGGCTCCGTCTGTGCATCCCGGCTCGGCAGGGAGGAGCTCCGGGGGTTTTAATGAGCCTAAATCAATTTAGAGCTCTAATTGCTTTGCTCGGTGTGGGTGGCACTCGGTGCTCGCCAAGGACAGGGCGGCTGCCAAAGGCTCCGCTGGCTCCAGTGCCTGGAACTGCTGCTCCTGCAGTGCCGGGATGGTTCTGCTCCAACACCATCCCTGGGAATGGGGCGTTTGTCCTGGTGCAGGCGCTGCTGTCGGCAGTGTTTTGCTGAGCAGGCGATGCCGGAGGGAACCCCAAACCACAGCCCAGGGCAAATGCTCGGGAGGCGACAGTTGAGTCCCCAGTCAGCGTGTTTTTGTTTCACCATCTTGCTAAGCACAGGGATAAGGGCCTGGGGGAAGGATCCTGCATCCTGCCTGGACCAGGGGAAGAGGCAGGTGCCTGGGAAAGGAGTAGTGCCAAGAGGATGGGTCCTGCCCCAGTGCTGTGGGTGTGCAGAGCTCACCCTTGCTGGGAACACTGGGACTGTGCTGGCCCTTGGCTCGGGACCCCTGGGTGTTAACATGCCCCAAGATCAGCCCTTGGCAAGGCCACATGCAGGAGCATCTGTGTTCAGTCATTCCCAGCCCCACCACACCCTGCAGTGGTTTTGAGGAGCCCCCAGGTCCCACCACGTTTCTCACCCCACGCACGGGGATGGTGCCACTCGAAGCTGCCTGGGATGAGCGTCCCTTTGTGGCATTGTTTGACTCAGGACACACCAAAGGTGATAACATCAATTGGTGGTTAATTCTCTCCCTTGCTGGCTGGATACAGGATTGTGGCCTTAATTAACCTTAATTAATCACCTGTAATATATGAACTTCCTTTCTGCTGGGGAGAGGGTTGAACTGGTTGGGGCAAGCCCAGGGCCAGTGTTGCTTGGGCCTGTGCTGGAGCAAATCCTGCCCCTTCTGCAAGCTGGGAGGGGATAAGATGGGGGTGTCACCCTCAAGCTTCCTTGTCTTTCCAAGGTGATGCCTTTGCACCCAAACCCTGCACTGGCTCTTATCCCACTGGGGTGAGCCTGGGACTGGGATGGCTGCAGCTGGAGAGTGCAGGGACTGCGTGGGGAGGGAAGGAATTTTCCCAGTGCCACATCAAGTGTGGAGTTATCCAAACCTCCTGCTCCGTGTGGGTGGGGGCTGTGCTGCTCAGTGCTCCCAAACTAGGGCCTGCCCCAGAAAACCTCCTGTTTGGGGCCAGGCTCCCCCTGAACCCCATCCCTGCATTCAGCCTTGCCCATCCCTCCTGCCCGGGGCAACCCAGTGCCCCTCTCAGCCCGCCCTGTGCCCCCAAAGGACTTTCCTTGCAGGTGTTATTGGGGCTGTGGGGGACTGAGCTGCCACCACAGAGCCCCTGCGGGCTGGGGGTGCTGCCTGGAAGCAGCTGCAGCATCCTGGTGCTAATGAAATCCATCGGGAAAGCAGCCCCTGAGCAGCAGCAGCGGCGTTTGGGAGCCAGATTTGCCGAGGGGAAGTGACTCAACGTCTTGGAAGGAGTTGGGGGCGTTGGGGGGGGCAGAGGACAGCGGTTGACCCAGGGTGGGGACAGCACGGGGGGGGGGGGGGGCTGGCAGCCACCTGCCTCCCGCTGGAGGAGCAGCATCCCTGTGGAGCGCTCTGTGCTCTGTTATCCCTCCTTAGGGCGGTGTGATCCCGGCCTGGGGGACGGGACAGGAAAGGAGGCCCCTTGGGAAGCAGTTGTTGCTTCCTCACGCTGGGCCGTGGCAGGATCCGGGCCAGCGTTCCCAGCTCCCGGCGTCACACCCTCTCCCAGCTGTTGCTCGCCGAGCATCCTGCTGCCAAGAAAACCCTGGTGATGGATGCAACCAGGACTCCTTCCCACTCCCCTCGCACTTAAAACCGGCGGGGAGCGGCCCCGTGCCTGCGCCTGATCCTGCTGCACCGGGATCCGCCTGGGAATGGGATCCCGCTGCCACCCTGGACACCTTGGGCACCCTGACCTCGTCCTACCCAACAGGGAACAGTGGGAGAGCCTGGCACCACACGAGGTATTTGGAAAGGTGACTGGAAGGCTTGTTGCGGGATACTGGGAGCACTGGGGTGTGTTACTGGGGGGACTGGGTGTGTTACTGTGGAGTGTATGGGACAGGACCTGCAGCAGAGCGATGGGGAAGACCCAGCCCTTGTGACCCCTCCCCAGCCCAGGACCACACTTTTCCTAGTTTTTATTACTTTGGGAAGTGAGTGGCATTTTCCACTGTCATGGGGGCGCTGCTCCCCCCGGACAGAGGGGCTGCACCCCACTGGGGACCTGCCACAGATGCCACAAGTGTGGCACATCCTGCAGTGCTGCTGGCACTGGCACCCTATGGAGCTGCTGCCCCATCCCAGGGGTCCTGGGAGAGAGGGACCCCAGCGTGCCAGTCACGAGCTGCCCAGTTGGCACATCCCCCCTGGTGCAGACGTCTGGAGTTTTGGGTCTCTTCTCCTTTCCCTGCGCTGGCCCCACTGATCTGGCACATCAGCACTTTTCCTCCTGATTCAGCCTCGGGGATGTTGCGACATGGTCCCGTTGTGCAAAGTGGGCCCCGGCCCCAATTCCTCTTTTTCAGCAACTGTGGGAGTTCAGCCATGTGCACAGGGGGTCATTGTCCCCACCTGCACGGGACATGATGGCTGTGAGCTCCCACAGGGAATTGCTCTCCGCTGGCATCACCTGCTGATTCCAGGTCACATTGGGCGGCAGTTTTCCAGTTGTCCCAGCAGCTCTGAGGAAACTGGGATATCTCCCTTGTGTGTGTCTGAAATCAGAAATCTCATGGATATTTGTGGTGGGAGCAGGGGGTTACTGTGGTGTAAGTGATGCTCCGGTGCAGGTGCACAGCGCCAGCTTTTGGTCCAGGCATTGGTATCTCCCTCTGGATGGGCTCTCCTGGCTCAGGGCAGGGATTTGTGTCCCTCCAGGCTC